TATTTGTGAATTTTGATCGTTTCTCTCTATTTTCACATCCGACATGTATAAGGTTATGTAATTGTAGAATTTTTAGTTTATATGAGCATGAATAATTTAACTAATTCATTTACTTATTTGAGAATGAAATGTACACAGTTTTAATGATCGGTTAGCTTTCAAAACTTGCCTAGAGTATTTAAAATACCATTTTATTATCTAGTTGAGTAGTTTGCGGAGGTCTGTTGAATGTGAATGTTTTTTTTTTTACTACTGAAACTGGACTTAAGAATTTCATTCTCATCTCTAGTAGGATCTTGATGTAGGATATCATTAAATATAGAAATATAATACATTACTATTACGTGTTCATTTAAAATCACTAAGCCTGTTTTATTAAGTACTGCGATTCTTGAATATCGTGGTTTAATTAATTTCGACTGACATATTACAACAAATCAACATTTCTTAGCCACATTCTTTCACCTCTTAAACGCAAAATAGGATATTCTTAAGGATTTAGTTTATTGAAAGCGAAAACTGTGAGCTGTTGGTTTCAATGCACCCCAACAATTTTGGATCTCTACCCCTCAAATAACTAATGATTGAGTTCCAATCAGAAGTTCCAAACTATAAGGGAAACGTGTGGTTTGAACTCTCTGTTCATCAAAAGTATTTCATTCATCCTCCAAAATATCTTGAAAATAATTATATTATGAATTTATTTTTCATAGTATTAATTAGTCATTAAAAAATTTCCCTACTAAAGATTCTCTTCAGTATCCACAAAATTTAAACAATTTTTTTAATAAAAGATATTAACGTTAATTTATAAATCAAATAATAAATATCTATAGTAGTAATAATTTCCTACCAGACTTTCATTTTAAACATAGATGGGATCTAGTTTAATACATTATCAGTTATTTCAAAAAAAAGAAATCTTTCATTTAATTTGTAAATCTTTTAAATGTCATTTTCAATGAAATAGTAAAATAGCATCTTTTAAATCTACGCTGTACCACAGAAAGAAGAAGAAATTTGTAGATTGATCAAATTTCAATGAAAAGATTTCAATAAATTAACTCCGTTACATTCCTGAAAAAAAAAAACAAGAAAAATTAGAATGAAGCAGACAATAATGCAAAAAAGAAAATCAAAGAAAAAAAAACTAGATTAATTAATTTATACTTATAAAAACTATAGTTTTTTGGAATTAAATAACAAAACTTTAAAAATCAAATTTGATATCAACTTTACATTGTATTTTTTTCTCTCAATGAAATAATGATTAAATATACATATGAAGAATTTTTGAAAATAAATTTAATGATACTGATCAGTCTACTGTGAATTTATCTAATAATAATACTGTCTCTCCTAATGAATGATTAATAATAATAATAATGATAATTAAAACAAGAAAATGCACACGTATGTAGTTTGTTTTTTGTTCAATGTTCAATGGTTTCAATTTAACAAGAAATAATTTTAGTAGTAAAAGAAAAAAATAGTCAAATAAATTGAAATGAAAAAAAGATTTCTTTTGTTTTGTTTTCTTGCGCTTTAAAAAAATAATCTTGTTTTCTTTGTACAAAAATGTAAGATAGTGGAATTTCCAGTCTAAATGATTTTGTGTTTTAAAAATTTGAAGTAATTTTTAAATTATTTAGTGATATATTATTTAACTGAAATACTTACTTGTATTGAATCATTTCAAACAAAATTAATAATATTTAGATATTAACTGTAGAAAGTTTATCCAGGCAAATAGATTTTTCTTGTTTTATTTTTGGCATCATACTTAATTAATACTTGTAAAACTTGTAAGCATTTTGATGTTGTACAAATAAACAGACAGAATGTAAATTCATCAAATGAAAAATTATTCACTGAATATTTACTATTAAGTGATAGGATTTTTTACAATTTATCAAACTGAAGAAGAAGCATTCTACTAAGAAGTCTTTCTTGTATATTGATGATTTAGTAGACTGTTTCAGCAGAGGTGTTTTAGTAAACTATGTAGATAACAGTTTTGGAGAGAACTTGTCAAAAACTAAAAAAAGTGATGATTGGATTAAACATTCGGTATCAGAAAGTGTGTTATATGTCACAACGAAAACAGTTTATTTATTTTATAGATTATTATCTAGCATGAATAAACTAGTTTACATCACTAAGAGGTCTCAGTTAGGGAACTATTAAAAATTAGACAGCATTGGGTAGCTGTTTCGTTCTAGTGTCGGACCTATCAGCAATGCCTGTCAGCCATCATATACATGGGAGAAACCAAGATCATCAGATCATGTCTGTAACAATTCAATCACTAAGGCCATATACGGTAGCTTTAATTTCTGACTCAACCATTATTCAATGCCATTGATTCCTGACGTGGCTGGACTGCCCTAATTAGGAGTTCCCCTTGGAAATGGAAGTATTCCTCTTCAAAATTAGTCGTTGATGATCACATTCATTTTACTAATATAAGGAACACGTAAACCAATGGATAGTCTAGAGATTTAAAGATTAAACCCTTATTGCTAGACCTAAATATCATGGGTTTACAGTGTTGGTGTACAGTGTTAATAAGTTTCATCAGGAAGTGAATCAGTTATTGACTGCTTCCTAGTTGTCAATCATTGTCTAACAAATGTCAGTGCATCATGATGCAAACATTAAATAAGTTCAACAATCGTCACAAACTTTTACATGATGAATAAAAATGAATTTATCGGTTTGTTGTTTTGAAAGTTTACAAAATGCAATAAGTTCAAAATAAGATAACAAAATGTTTTTTTGTTCACATGATCCTACTCGCCATATGATTTGATGAAACGAAGAATAATTCATTTTTAAATTATTTTTCTTACGATAACACTGTAATGATTACGTAATTCACTGTAGGCCTATAACTATACAATTTAAATTGAAAAATTAATTATTACAGTTGAATTGATCGATTGATGATGTGTATGATCATGATGTTCATGATATTTACCAGACATAGATACTTAGAAGAGAAAATTGTGAATTTATGTAAATATCATCAAAATCAGATTAATCTTCACTCTACGATATGACACGTTATATTATAAACTAAAACGAAGTCTATTCTACTAGTTTGAATAAGCTTAATCACTACTACTAATAATAACAATAATAATAATTAATTGAAATCATGAATCGATCATTATCAGTGTACCATCAGAGATCCGGAAGCACTAGACTGCCGTTTCTTCCTAGTATGGGGCTTATCAGCTCAACAACCTCCTCAAGTGTGAATCGAATCCAGGAGCTTTGTTCTCGCTCGCGAACGCTTAACCTCCAGACCACTGAAGTAGCTTCCAGTGGTGTTAACGTCTAACGAACACTTCCATACTAGGACAAAACGGTCCTCCAATGCTTCTGGTTTTCTAATAGTGGTCTAACAATGGTTGATGAAACTCAACAATCTTCACAAGCCTATGATTTAAAATAATAATATTCCAATTTTTTATTGTTTTAGTGAAATGTCATCAGTTACTGAATAAAATCACCATGAGTTTTGCTGACATATTCAACTGCTGATAACACTCAGAAGTGTAGTTTATTATTTGATTTGCCGAACAAATCATCACAAAAGCAAAATAAAATTCAGTGATAAACATTCATCGTCTTTTAGTACCAAACAAATAGTTGAAACGGGTTATAAGACATGGCTTCTATCGTGTTGTACAAAAGTATTCAAGGGGGTATACTATAGTTTATTGAAGCCTTGGTCATTTGAATATTAAACTACTTTTTATGTATTTAAAATCAGTTTATTCTTACTCTTAACCTACCTTGATAATATTGCTTTATTATCCAGCCTGTTGAGTTTCCTATTACTCTCTTTCTTTTGCTTGTTTCCTATTACGTTCCATTGACCTAGCTGATCCTTAACAAGCATATATGTGATCAGAGTTTTCGAAATGTATTGCGCTAACCTATTACATAGTTCTGGTAAACTTCGTCTCCTTATTAACCCTATCCAAATTTATAAACGGGACCAATTGCTCTAGATGACTTCTGAATTCAGTATAATATTAGTGGTTTTCAAGTTATTGGCAAATCGCTCATTTGTGAGTTATCTGAATACTTACTCGACTTATTATGAATAACGTGCATAATTCTGACAAAGCATAGATCATATGATGTCATTTGGACACGTTTCGTTGTATTTAATAGAGTTTGATTAGCATCAAGAACTAATAATACTTTTCTCTATTCGCTACCCTCAGTTGGTTAAGACAAAATCCTCCAATATCATAATCATTTTGAATGGAATAACTCAGTAGTAACTTATCCGTATGAAACACAGAATGACTACAATTTACACCCTAAATATAGTATCAATTCCCTCAAGAATATAGATGTCCTTCCATGAAATCCAACTAACATGAAACATAAGTTCATGATTGATTGATAATCGCTATCAGTTACCTAATGTCAATTTGTATGCTCCCCCATTGGTCGAATTTGAATAACTCCCATAATCTTGTTGTCATTCTGAATCCACTTAGAAGTCGAGGCTGACTGAATTAAGCTAATTACATTATGCTACTCATAGATACTCAGTAGTTCATTTACACATAACACAATTCTTGACCGTCGGTCTGTTAAGATTAAAAAAACATGTATTACTGTAAATGTTTAATTCACCAAGCATAATAAATTATTACACTATCACTATCTTTTATTTCATAATGAAAACTCACTGAACAATAATTATATGATAGAAAAATAATAGAAAGTACAGTTTATTCACAGATATGAACTTATGTGAAAAGACATTATCAAAATTCAGAGCAATCTTTAAGTCAATCACATTCTTATAGAATAAAATACAATTTCAATTATTTTAACAAGAATTACTTGATAAAATATTTTTAATTTCCTGTTCTTCTTTTTTAAAGCAAATATTTTGCATTTTTTCAAAAATTCTGCAAATCTTTTTTAACTCCACTACACTGAAGAGCACATAAAACTTGTTAAAATGTGTCTACGAAAAATTATTAAATAGGTAGAAAAAGTCATACAGTTTTTATTTGTTTATGAAAGTAGGTAGAAAAAAAGCAATATTCCGGGATTATCCGGGAAGATTTTCACAAGTCGATGGAAAAATAATTCGTTTCATTTTGATTTAGCTTATTTGGATTGCTGCGGAACAAGTTGCTTCATTAATAGTAGTCTGTTTGACATTACAGAAGATTTGGCTGAAAGTAAAAGATGAAGTTATTTTGATAAAGAGTCAATAAATAATTTATTTAAACAGAAAAAATGTTACTTATAGGTAGTGTAATAAAGTCCTGTAAAAAAAATCAAACAACGTGATTGATAGTTGTGAGGATTTCAGCAGCTCAGTGAATAGCTTCTAAAGCGTTTGTAGCGGAAGGTAGTGGGTCAGAGTCCCGTTGTGGTGTGAGCTACTTATAAGTAGTATATGACGTGAGTGTCAACGTAATGTCTGGCAGCGGAAGATGGGGAGAGATTAAGAAAGGAAGAGTTAGAAAACAATGGAATTTGTATGAAACACATGAATAGTGACAATGGATTGATGTTTGGCAACAGGAACAGTCCAGCTCGATATGATGGACTGATAATTTGCAAATGAACAATTTACGATATGGTTTTCCGATTTTACTGAGTAACTCTGTAATTTCCGTTAAATACAATTCGGTTACCCCACCTGTGTTCTCTTTCACTACACCGTTTTGAATATCAGTACTTAGATACTAACAAATCTGACTGAAGAATGTCATACAGGATGAAACGTGTTTATTGGATTCCATCTTTATTCATTATCAGTCATTATCTGACTACTTTTAAAATGTGGCTTGACAGTTTTTAGCAATATGAGAAATTTCACTGGAAATTTCAAATCAAAAAATTTTTTTAAGTCGATAGATTTTGAAAAAGTGTTGACACTCAGATGTTTTGTTCCCTCGTAAATTGGTAAATATTCAAAAGAAACCAGTATTAATTTTTCATCTTTCGTAGATTTTTAGTTTTCTGTACTCTTCGACAGAGTTTGTCTTAAATTCTGAAGGGACATAGACAAGGAAGATTGGGAAAACATTATAGATCTTAGTGATAGTCGACAACAACTCATAAATAATGGCGAAAAGTTTTACCGTCTTCTAGTCTATCATCATGCTACTCAGACAAATAGAACTGAAGCATCACTGTGATATTTGAAGCTTTATTTTTCATAATATTTAGGAGCACAAATAGAATCAACTCTAATATTGTAACAATTGGTTTAATTATTATGCATCAAAACTATATCATACTTTAACAAAATATCTAAGTATGAAATAAATCATTTTCTCTTAAACAACTTTTCTATAAGCTTACTGTAATAACTGTGAAGAAATGTTGGTGTGATATAATAAAGGTGCTTTTCATGGCTAAGTGAAGTAGCCTGAAGAACCAATGAAATGTAAGCAGTACTGAATGATTATTTCATTTTAATGCATATATTTCCTCAGAAGCTCGATTAGTATTAAAAATATGAAATTGTTTGGTTTAAACTAGCATGGAGTCGTGACTGCATATTGCTAGACAACTGTAAACTAGGAAGAAGGAAGCTATCTAACATTTCCACTTAAAATTAGCTTCTCATTATCTATTTTTAACTGTGATGAAAATCAGTTTCAAAATAGTGCATTATTTAAAAAAAAATACATGCAACATCACAGTTATAATGGTACTTTGCAATTTATCGATTGTGCAAAATAGTTATTCATATTACTGACATTCATTACAATTAAAAGATAAAAATGTGCTAGTGCACATGTAAACAGCATCATGGTATAACAAAGAGATGATAAAGCAATTTGACTACTGAATACAGTCTTTAGACTTATCAATTAAAAAGTAGTAACTAAACTCTTTAGTTGTTATTCGAATTTTGTAGACCAAATTACAATGTTTCCATGAGTCTTCCAGAATGAAAACTCATTTATCATTGGCTTCATAGTTCATTGGTAACGTTACCGACTATAACACTGGGCGGTTCTGGTAATAATCTGATGAAAACTATTATCTCCTTAAGATCTCAACAGGGCCTTCCTAACCAGTGGTAAATAACACATAACCTGGGTATAGGGTACTCTGCCAATTGCTTCCGACCAGCCGATATTGAATGCATCGATTTTTAAACAAGAATGATAATATATAACTTGGAATGTGGTCATAACAAAAGAGTGTAACTCCAGTCAGTTATCCTGCAACATTTTTGGAATGTTATTATTATTATAATTATTATTAACTAGTGAAGTATTTCAGTGATTAATTTCCACATTATCGTTATTCATTTCAAGTTCTATATAGAATGGTGTTTGTTTGATGTGGTGTAAAACCTTTGCTTTACATTAGAGATGGCATTTATCACATATTGAAAAGAATGTGAAATTTCACAAGGATCTTTATCATGCAAAATGAATCTTATCTCATGAAATGATATTTCAGTTTCTAAAATTTAATTGATATCTCTGTGCTTCCCTTCTATAGTTGGCTAGCTTTATAACATAAACAATCACAGGAATTAACAAACTAGATGATCGAATCTTACCTCATGAATTCGCAGTAATTTAATATACAACATCAAGCTAAGTGAATACTGTAAGTGGTAAAGAATTCATACGTATTAAATATTGAGTAATAAGGAATGACAAAATTTACAAACACACACATCACATGAACTTATTTACGAAGTGCTTGAATAAGAGCCATAGTGTAAATGTAACAACTAGTTATACTATCCAATTATTCAGACTAAAACAAGTGAGGTGGGTTTCGAAAGTGAAACCGCTAGAATTCAAATTTCCAATAATAACGGTAATCATGAGTTACCATACGAGAATAGCATAAAAGTCCTGGTAAGCGTATATTTATAATTTTGTGTGTACCAACAGGATAATAGCTTGTATTACAATGAAGGAAAATTGAAATTAATATTATTTGCACTAATGGTTTACTTTATGGTCTTGGGAAAAGAATATTATCTACATTCTAAGTTACTAGAAAATTCTTGATTGAATTTCACTGCATGTTATTGGTTTCACGGGTAATAATCATGATTCAACTTCTAAGGGTCTAGAGTCTACCATACTACAAAAACATTTATAATAGCATATACTACATACCACTAAAAGTTGTACTCGAATATAATTATTAATCAACATATGGAATTACAGTTGATATTCGTTTAAAAAAAACACTGAATGTCAATAAGTATTCAAATAATGTGAACGTAATTATTTCAGAGTGAATTCGATCGAAAATGATGAAATTTTGGAGTCAGTTAGTCACAATCAACAAATAAAATCAATAGAAATATAGATATTTATGATCTGTTTGTTGGTTTAGAAAACAGAACGTAGAAAAAAAGAAAATTCTGATATGATCAGAAGTAGGAAAGAAAGAAAGAAACACAAATTGACATTTGAACGTGCACAGTTCAATAGGTGACAATTTTTCCTAATTCGGTTTATGTAGTGCTTTTTTTTCAAATGAGAAATGTGCATTGAATGGTGACAACAAATTAACACAAAAGTTCTTTTTTATATAGTGCATGCAAATCTTAAAGTAGAATAGTGTGCTTTAAATTATTTATGTCAGTAAAAAATTTTGTCTTACAGGTATGTCGACGATAAGCTGCATTTAGCCAATTAATAAAACAGGTATCTAAATCCAAAGACTAAAATCAAAATTAATTATCTGATCAATTATTCTAGAGTTTAAAATGTGAATAAAACACTTTAGGACTATTCATGCAACTGATAAACAAAAATAATTACAACAGAATAAGGTAGAATCATGTGTAATAGATGATGATATTTAGTTAAAAATACACAAGTAGGTAGTCAACGTTTGAACTTTATTTTGTGAATAATTTCCTTTTTATTCACATGTAACTGGGAAGGAAGTCCAAGAACAGAGTTGGTTAGAGAATGCTGGACAGCGGTTTATGCTCCATAAGAGGTAAATTAAATTAGAATGTTTATGAACACTGAACTGTGTTCAATGGTAAATAATTCAAGCAATAAAAAAAACTCTTTTCTAAAGAACCTCCAGTCACCTTAAAAATGTTTCAACTTTGTAACTGAAAAGTATGGTACGCTATTAGCCTGAACTGTATGGGCAATAAACTTGACCATGAACAGAATTAAAATGAAATTTGTTCGGGTTGAGGAAGAAGATAAAACTGATAGCAGACGAAGATTATATTCACCTGTTAAAAGCTCTAAAACAGTCTACTAACAAAATGTAATTACCTACGTATAAATCTTAATCGCAATTTGATTATTAGTTAGTAAATATCGTGTATAACGAAAATTATGAGAGTAAAATCGAATTGCAAACTGAAATTATACAACTTAATCTTATACTGAGCAAGTGTCACTGAATTAATATAGTGAATGCTAAATTACACATTGAGTGTGTATCACACCAAATCAATACAAAAATATGCTGAACTGATAGTCAACACCCTACGGAATTATTAAGATGGAATATACTGCGAAATCGTGCATAGAGGAAAGCTCACAGCTCCATTCCACATGAAGACCGATGTCAAACAACTTTGCTTACTCCCGTTTTTTCTCTTTCTCCTGATGATTGAGTGGATTATAAAGAGGTCAAAATCTCAGAAGAAGCACACAATACAGTGGGCATCTAGGATGCAGCTGGACGATATGGACTTCGCAGATGATCTAGCTCTTCTGTCTCACACAACTACTGATGCTTGTGAAGATGACCAGTGTAGCAGCAGTAGGTTTCAACATACACAAGGAAAAATTCGAGATACTCCGCATGCAAAACAACATGCACCGACCACATCACACGTGATGTAGAATCTCTGGATGACGTGGACACTTTACATACACAGACAGCATCATTGATTAAGATGGATTTGATGCAAATGTAAAGACACGGATCGGTAAAGCAAGGGAACCGTTTCTACAATTGAAGAACATCTGCAACTCAAAACAACTGTCAACCAACACCAAAGTCAAAATTCTCGACACGAACGTCGAGACAGTTCCTTTGTATAGGATTAGAACTTGGAGAACTATAAAGGCCATCATCCACAAGATACAGGTATTTATTAACAGTTATCTGCGCAAAATACTTCGGATCCGTTGGCCAGAGATTATCAGCATCAACCTACTGTGTGAGAGAACAAATCAGATTCCAGCTGAGGAAGAAATTAAGGAAAAGCGCCGGAGGCGGATAAGGGGAACAACCCGATTGCATCGCTAGGTAAGCTGTAACTGCAAACCCTCAAGACCACAGGAAAAGTGGTGGACCAAGTAACACACTGTACGGAGAATTGGATGGCGACATGAAAACAATGAATAGCAATCGGGTAGATCTGGAAAGAAAAAGGAGGTTGCTGGTCAATGGCCTATCCTCCATCAGGAGTAACAGACGTAAGTAAATAAGTAAGTATGCTGGAATGAACAAATATTACACAAATATCCGACTGATACAAGAATGACATCAATAGTAATATTGCCACTAAGTGAAACGTGACCATTATGTTTATCCTGCTTTAAGTGACTACTGTTTGCATTAACGATTGATAGCTGTAGTAGGAAATCATTTATGCTACTTTGACATGCGGGTTACTAAAATCTAGGTAATCTATACAATAGGCGATAGTTTCACTGCTGTCTTTTCACATTACAACTGCCATTAGTATTACCCAGAGTGATTCAGCTTAGAGATCTAATTGGAGGAAATCATTTAATATCTGTTAGTAACATTCGATAGTGGCTAGCAATGCAATCTAGAACTCATGGTCAGCATTCACTTACAACAAACGAAATTACGACATTGTGGTACTTAACGTAAACAACAAGTAAATACAAACCATCATAAATCTTTTCAAACCAACAGGTTATTTGCAAAAATCACTTCACTTCATATATATATATATATATATATATATATATATATATATATATATATACAGTAGTTAGTCTACAGAAAAAACATTTACTTAAAATTCAGTTACATGCTGAACGAAATGTTAAAATTGTCCATTCAGCTTTAATTATGAATTAGATATTGTAAGAAAGCGTAAACTAACAAGTTTAGACAGTCAATTATCCTTACCTATCGTGGTGGGATAATTATAGTTAGATAGATTATAGTTGGAAGTGATTTGCATTTCCACATAATCTTGTTTACAACTCGTGAAAATGTAAGCAGTGAGTTAAGTAGCATGGTGGTCTAACAATGATTGACTGATGATTTCAAATGTGTAAAAAACAAGTTTCCAAAACTCTAACTGAAAATATTGTTAAAACTATGTTAGCATTGTTAATACCAATTACTAAAAGACATACTACTTATAAGTATCTAGTAATTTTATACGAAACAATTTAAGCGCATGTTACAACTTGAGTTGAATATTAGGTAGAATTTCACTAATAAAATAATGCGAACATAACTTTGATCAATATGAACTCACCGAATGGAACTGACCATCTTGATTATAGGAGTTTTCACTAACATTGGGACATTTAATATTTTCATATGGAGAGATAGTACTATTTTCATGAAGTAGACGAAGTGGAGGAGATTTATCAAATAATCCTTTCATTGCAGAAACTGGAGAAGAGATTCGATGCTGTAGTCCAGGGGGTTTATTTATACTATCGTTGATCTGTGTATGTGAATCGATTGATTTCTGCGGGTACATTGAATTTCTTCCCAAAATTTTAGTTAAAAACATGTTTAGAAAAGAGGTATAAGAATTTCAGTCCTTTTTCGAGAATAATTTGAAGGAAATATTGTATTAAAAATGTTTTGTTTCGAAAATGTTAAATATCTAGATGATCTTGTCCTTTTAACTACTGTATGTATACTCATTAGTAGTATGACTAAGAGAGAGAGAGCAAATGTTTGAGCATTGAAGCACTTTAAAGACACTTCAACCGTCGTATTTATTATAATATTAATACCTGAGGATTATAGAGCGCTAATTAATTTCCAGTTTAATAATCTATAAAACTGAAACTTCGCATAAAAACCTTTCAAATTTATATCATTTACATGTGAAAAATGATCTTCATCTTAGGTAAGGCAGTGGATTTTTGTTCAACTCAGATAAGGATTACTTCTGATCTATTATTGTTTTTAAACAGAATATAAATAAACCTTGACGAAAATTGTTAGATGTGCTAAATATCAATCGGTTGGACTGTGATAATACCTTTGACAATTATAATTAAAATTTTTTTTAATGCAATACAATCAGTAACTAGTTATTAATTAAAAAAAACCCACATGAAATCAGTAACTATTGATCATTACACAATACATAAACATGTGTGTATGAAATGATGATATTTTCTTGACAAAGTTAGTAACAGTAATGCAGTTTTAAGGGGGAAACATTTTGAGATTAATTCTACGATCACAAACTTTGTTCTTCATCAATAACTTAATGTGGATCAACCTTATTTCCTATATTATAGATTTCTTCTTGTTGGTCTAGGGGAAAGTTACTCATCAATTAATCAATAAACACATCAGAACAAACAACAATCATCATTTATACTGTCAAACTAATCACATATTGAACAAAATGAATTTTCAAAAATTATTCTTTTTTTATTTAAGAATTGTACAGTTCATTCAACCTAGTTCATGTATTTTGTGCTTGGAATTACATCATCTATAATAATTTGAATTTTCTACTTCTAATTGCCGTTTATGTTTCCGATTCTGTTCAGCTTAATCATTTCGCTTTCAGAAGATTCACTTACACTCATCATTATAAATAATAAGACTTATAAGTGAATAGTAAAATTTCCTTCCAATCGACAATCCGATTCTTTTCGTGTAAGTTATTTGAGCGCTTCAATGAATACATTGCTCTAAATGTTATAAGAGTGTTTGTGAATTCAACTTGGAAAAGAATGTTCATCAGTCATGAGAAACAACTAACCATCATTTATATTTTCAATATTCAGCTGTTGTTTAACTCACATCGTTTCCTTAAAAATAATCATTCTCCAATAAATCTAAGGGTATAAGTAAACGATAACAAATAGAAACCAAAAGAATTTCGATGGAAAAAAAATAGACATATTAGCACTAACTTTAATATAGACATATTGTAATTGGCTTTTGATTCAATATCGTTGATTGGTAAAATAAATTTATCTATATTACTACCATCACTGTACACAAAGCAGTATGAATATGGATTATCTTTTGATAAAATTCTATTTAGTTCATTCAGCGAAGGATTATGCTGCTTCTAGAGAAGAAGTGGAAAAGGAAAAAGAAAAAAGAATATTAGGACTTTTATTGAACTTTTTCTCAAAATTTGACCATTGTGAAATATTTATCAGGTGCTTATTGCCTTTAGTTTCTAGTTGTTTTCTGGCTGTTACCAAACAATCATGAAAGTTATTTTCAAATTAAGAAAAATTTATACATCACTATCCGTAGGATCCAAACTCAGGTTTGGATTGAAGAATAACTGCCCAGGTAGTTTAGATACGCGTCTTGCCCAGTTGAAACCAAAACAAGCCACCGGGTAAATAACCGTTCTAATATTCATCTTAAATATAAACGTACATCATCACCTACATAGATATTACCAGTCAATTGCTCCACCAACAATTGTTCAATTAATCAAATCAACAGCACAAATAAATGTTATTCTATCCCGCCTCGATAGATCAGATTCGTTCGACAGATAACATTTGGTTGCTTTATAAAACAGAGTGTTTCCTATTCTAGAAGGGTGCTTCAATTCACAATCAAAATGCACAGCTCCTTTCAAAGCAAGCAACACAATCAAAAGAGGAACAAAACAATATGACTGTCGCTTAAACAACATAATGCAGTTCAGAAAGGAACAGAAATTCAGTAAAGGCAGAAGAAATAGAAACTATGATAAAATACAAATATTATCATCTCAAATGGAATGGAACAGATTAACAAAGTGTGCAACTGAAGGAATCAATAAGGAAAAAATTACAATTGTATACATGGAGGGATTTTCACAAACAAAGTCTTCGAAAATGGATCTTACACTATCTAAAAAAATACATATCTTGAAGTAATCCATGAATGTTTCGCCCTATTTTCAAACTTCACAACAACGCCAAACTCATGATCTCATTTTGTAACAAATAGTCAGTCCATTATTCACGCATGACCTTATTTTAAAATGTATACATCCAGGTGGACCCAACCATGTCGCTGATGAAGAAAGTAGAAGTGTAGTGAAGGAGAACACAGGTGAGGGCAACCGGATTGTATGTAACGAAAATTACAGAGTTACTCAGTAAAATCGGAAAACCATATTGTGACCGTTAATTGGCAAATCTTCAATCAATCATCAATCCATTGTCTGACATTTCACTTATCCATGCGTTTCACACAAATTCCATTGTGTTACCACTCTTCCTTTCTTGATCTTCCCCCATCTTCTGCTGCCAGACATTACGTTTACACTCACGTCATATACTACTTATAAGTAGCTCGCACTACAGAAGCATTATAAAAATAAGAAGCGAAACAGAGAAATTATTTGAACTCCTCACAGAAATCTGAATGTGTGCAACATAATTACAAAGACAAGAAGAGAAAAATGGGTGAAAAGTTAAGAGTAACATTTGTACGATTATTCAGAGATAGAGATAAAACTAAGGCAAATTTTCAGCTTTTAACCATTTGGCTTTATGGTAAACAAAAACCATCTTGGAACAAAGAAGATATATACATATAAATATATAACATATAAACTTTATTGAATTTAGCATTAAATTAATTGAATTATAAATGATTTTAAAGCTTGTTAGACAAAAAAAATACTTATTCACATAAAAAAAACTAACTTGTTTTAAATAATTTTTTAAACGATTTAAATTAGCTTTACGTGTTTTTAATAACTGTTTATTTTGTATTTCAATTTGTTTTCTAGTTATATTACGCAGTTCATTGACATTTTCCGATTGCCATTCTAAATATTCTTGTTGTGATTCAATTAAATCACAAATTCTTGTACAATATGCTGATAATTTACCAATCACATCTATCAATGGATTTATACAACTAAAAAAGAGCGAATAAAATAAAATTATTAAGATCAATTCTAATTTATATCGTAAATAACTAATTTTTGCATACCAGTGCTGAGATTACAGATCGAACACATTCCTTACTGGTGGTATAAATGAGCACTGCCAAAGTGTCTCTTACGTAGAATAAGACAGTTGATAAGTGATTTCAGATTTTTGATGGTCCTCTAAATTAAGTCAATCTATCATCTCAGTGAAATGAATAAAGGAGGGGGGTTACAAACATAAGACAAGTGCGGCAGTCGTCACCAATGAGATTAGATCATATATGCGATTAATTTCAAACTGATTATATTTGGAATTGTAAAACTGGATTTCAGCCCAGTGATTCTAACGGCTAACCATTAACCATGAGTACAGGAAGTCTTCTCAGAAAAACTGCTAACCAACGCCAGTCAGAATTTTCAACACAACTATCAAGAGAGTTATACTACGTGGTGAGGGAACTTGAAGAACCGAGGAAGGAATCTTTCACAAGATGTAGCTGTTTATTAACAGTTGTCTACTCAAGATACTGAGGATCCGTTGTCCAGAAACAATCAGCAACAACCTACTGTGGCAGAGAACAAACCAGATTTAAGTTGAGGAAGAAGTAAGAAAAAGTTCTGCAGGTGGATGGAACACATAATGCGGAGACCACGTAACCGCATCACCAGATTAGCTCCGACTTGAAATCCTCAAGGTCAAAGGAAAAGAAGAAGACCAAAGAACCTATGACAGCGAGACTTGGAAGCAGACATGAAAAGAATAAACAGAGATTGAATAAAACTTGAAAGGTAGCCCCGGGACAGAGTAGGTTGGGAAATTCTGTTCGGTGGCGTAAGTAATTGAGCAAGTAAGTACTGGAAGTCTTGGGTACAGTCTCCGGTAAAGTTGCGTGTTAATCTTCAGAAAAGTCCTACATAAGTACGAAACCGTTATCAAATGCTCGTTGTTTTTCGATGGTATTCTAAGCGAAATCATCCGTAACTAATACAACTAAATTCTATAAATTTAAAATAACAAGATGTTGATACACTTTTCTCTCACATTAAGTATGTACAGATAGTTTGACTAGTTGGACATTTCAAATATTGCAAGATAGTAACAAGATTATCTAAGATGATACGGGCCAAAATCGTTCATATTGGTGTGGATCTATTTACTCTTTATCGACCATTATATTTGAATTTTCAATCCTATTTTGTACTTTTTATTCCATTGATTCATACTTTCTTTTTGAATTATATTGTCTATACATTGTGTTTTTTACTGATACTGTTGCAATTTCCACTTCTCCGATATCTGGCTGTATTGATGTGTTGCGGTAACCCTTACTCTAATTCTAGTCAACAAGGTAATGTTATTACCCATACTAGCCACAAGTTGATTAGAGTTAGACATATAAATTACTAGATTTAGATTAAGTGTAGCCCAAGTGTGATGTATTATTATCCACTAATCTAGATGCCCGATTCCTTGGTCCAGTTTCAAATGATTAGTTCACATCACTGATGAATTTCACACCACGTTGAAATATATAAATAGGTTTCTTTCGGAACATGTATTAGCTTGAAAAAGCAGTAAGAATTTAAATAGGCTAAAAAGTTATTTTGTCATGAATTAGAATAGTTCAGCATTTCACACTGATCATTCCCTACTTGGTTGAACTCAAGACTGTCAAATATCGGATTTCCGAGAAATTCCGAATTCCGACAAAATAGTTGTCCAAAGTTCTACAGGTTTTACTTTATTTTTTTCTGGTCAATTTCAATTTTTTAACGAATACTATTTTTGAACTGAACTAAAATGTTTAATCCGTCTAATTAGATAATTATCATGAACTCAGTAATTAGTAGCTATGAACTGTAGTTCTTAAAGTTTTAGTTAAAAATTATTCATGATTAAAGTTTAGTCACTTGCCGATTGAAGTAACCATCACTAGTATCATCCAAATCTGTCATGAATTAATTGATAGTGAAAACAAGAACCATAGAGTTCAGACTTAGTTATCTAAATGACCTGTGATGCCTATGAAACAAGAAGTTGATTTTATTTTCATATATTGTTCAGCTGATAATTGTTTGGGATGTTAGATCCCCAGAACTCGCTTGACAAATGAAGATGAGGATGAAATACCACTGGTCATAGCATCGACGCACTGAGGAATTGTCGGTGTAGATGAGACTGGAGAAGGGGTGTGCGCCTGAGTAAGCATCACCATCAACTTCAGCTGTTGTGCAAACAATTTTTCTAATTTAGCTGCATTCGTTTACCAAAACGCTGTCGCCAATTTTTACGCTCGTCTCTAGGTATGCTTCAAACTATTACGGGTTCACCTTAGTCGAATAAGGAGAACAAAATAATGAACCAGCGTCCAAGTAGGCTACTTGGATCCCTTGACCCAAATGTACTTGTTATTCAATTAAGGTGAACCGGTAATAGTTTTAAGCGCATACCTAGAGACGTGTGTAACAATAATAGTCTTTGACGTAACTGCAATCAAATTTAAATAAATTATTCAATAGAGCGTGGACAAATAATAGGCAAAGCCTACTGACTGTTAAATATATGATTGTATTCCTCTTATTGATTCCTACTCCAAACTTTCTGTGACTGCTTGCAACAATGTGGAATAAATTACGCTTATCAATTACTGTGATTCTGTACTTTCGGTCGTGTGTCATGTAACCAGTTTAAAGTGATTTGATCTCTGTGGAGTGTGCAGTTCGAGCATTTAGTAACTTGAATCCAGTGACGAAATCGGTAGTTATACAACTGAATTGTGACACATCATCGCTAAGATTTTCTAATTGTGTCTGGGGTGTTTATATTCGGTATTGATTCAGCAAGATATTTTAAGCTTTTTTTCCGGTTTCTTGAGACTATTTCAAAGAATTCTGAAGAGTTTCCAACAATTTTTTAATTGCGATGATTTAATAAATTCAAATCATATTTCTAAACTCTACAAAAAGTAACTACAACTAACAACTACTCACCTTTTGATAGTTGAAGTGTTTTCCGTTAAATTTGAAATTTTTTCATTACCTTTCAATAATTTCAATGGATAATAGAATTTTGAAAGTAACAATGTGGAAGGAATTTCAATTTCATGATTAGATATATTTAATAATTTACTAAAACGATTACATTCTCGATTAGCAAATTTAATTATTCCATAAATGGTACTATTAAATAGACGAATTAATGAATTATAATCTTGATATAATTGATGAAGACATAAATGTAAATGGGATAATTTATTTTCATAATTATCAATTAATTGTTGATAATCTTTATGCTTCATCAATGGTACATTTGTCTGATTCATAATAGACTGAAACAAAACAAAACACATAATTATCATGATAACAATGTTCATTTAAAGAGATAACTATGTGCACTCGCGTAAAATCAGATACTAAACATAACTAAAAACTCGGTTGTTACCAGTAATCGAGCAAAGAGAAATATGATGACATTTTCATACAAATGAAAATAAAATAATTGTAAATTGACTAAATGTTGAAGAGATAACCGAGTCGGTGTTAACCTTACTGTTTAAAAGTTAAAGAGCTCACTGTGAGGCCATCAGGTCTTAAGATCAATATTCTTTAGTCAGTTGGTAATTTTAACAAATCCGCACCTCCTAATGTGTTATGTTTTATGAATTATTAAAATGTTGACCCCTGAAAAAGTATTATCACATTTCAACGTTGAAGTACATATAGTGTAGACTTCGAAGGAACCTATGTGGCACAGGTTGTCATTTGTAATGATTCGATATACATCATATCTATTTGAATGACCTGCATTGTTTTTAAGGATGCTTTTCATATCGTACAGTTGATAAAAAATGTTCCTTAGTATAAGCAAAACTAGGTAGAATATATGTAATCAAAGGGTTAGTACTACCAGATGTACTAAATATGAAGTATAACCAATTTTCGGCTTGATAACATCTGATATTCAGTAACTAGATTTTTAAGAGTTTAAAATCTAAAATGTCAGGTGACATACACTAAACTGACTGCCTTACTTCAACAGCATTTACCTTTTATCTCTCCTAAACATTAAGCTTCATGTTTCTCAATATTTGGTAGTCTTCGTTCTAATTTCATCCCTTTTTAACAATTTTATTAATTTTCTTTGAACATTCTATTGTAATCAGTATTATTAATTCCTTTTCTAACTTTTTAAATCTGGTTCATTTCCTACGCTTATAGAATGATATGAAGAGCGGTAATCGATATTGATAAGTAATTACTATTAATCATTCACTGTCCAAGATTATAATTAGAAAATGGATTAGGTGGTTGACTTAAGTTGCATGTAACAATCAATAAGCCATTAAAAAAAATGATGAACTAGTTTATTTATTAGGTTAGCTATGCAATATCATTGGGAAGAAATACATACTATAGCTTTGTATTATTAACTACTGTTCGGAATGAAAAAAAAATATTATACAATGCATGATAATTTCTAAATATGAAGAGAAAATTAATAAAAATAATTGTTAACCATGATGTTATGTATCTTGGGTACATAATAAGCATTTAGAATTTATGTAAACGAATATCTGCTCACAATGTATGATAAATGTAATTTGATTATTTGAGGAAAATGTTTACCACTTGTATTCACATGTTACTCTAATGCTCGTCAGACTGATATGCTTGAAACTATTACGAATTCACCTTAGTCGATAAACGAGAACGAGGCAACGAACTAGTGACACAATAGGTTACTCTTACCCGCTGCCCCAACTAACTAAAGGAGAAGTCTTGATATGGCGTAGAAAGTGTGTTCTATAAGCACCCAGAAAGTATAATGATCTCAAGCACACAAATCGCGTTTATTTATACATCGTAGGAACGTCCTTGGGCGAATCACAAAAATAGCGCACCAATATAACACATCAACTAATCACAGTCAAGGACTTTCCTGGTGGGAAATGTAATCTCAAGGTCAACTGATCAGCCCCTGAATAAAACCCAAAATTAAGAACTTTATTAAGTGAGTTCTGGGGATCTAACATCGCCAACAGTTACTGTACTAACAATAATAAGGAATAAAGTTTTATTTACCTAAAAAAAATCGTTTCACTTTTTTCTTTGAGTCCTTTGCTTTTACTAATTACTCATGAACTTACATTATTATTATAATTAATATTATTAATATTATCATTCTGGTTTAGTATTACTTAACGGTAATCTCTTTTGGTGATATTGTATCCTCTGTGATAAATGACTGAATTGCTGAATTTTAAATGTCATTTTCATCAACATCTTCAGTATTTACTTCATATCGAAGTAGAGTTTCCAGTCATTTAACAAATATTATATGAGATCATTTTAAAAGCCTTGTTTTGATTTAGTTACTGTCTATATTTGTAATTGTATCTCTGTTGACAGTCTATGCTGGTTTGTTTCTATCTATGCGATTGACTGATTTCTTCATGGATTGAATATATATTGATGTGTTTGTTAATCGCTAATGATTCAGAATCGCGGGCTACTAGAAATTCTTATAGTTTCTCCGATCCAACGCCAGAGATCAACCAACATAGATAGTCAGCGTGAATATAAGAACGAATGAAGAAAGCAAAACCTTCAAAGAAAGATCTTTATAAACAAAACAATCAGAATGAAATGACATTATACTGGTGAAACGATTCGAAAGCTTACTATAACACGAAGGAGTAACTAAAAATGTTTTGCAATATGGCAGTGAAAGCGCAGCAATTAAATCATCCACTTTAGAGGATACAATACTACTAACAGCATCTACTTGAAGTTCAAATATTCTCCATCATTTCGGAAAGTGATCCATTTATTTTATTATTCAAATATTTCTATACAATCATTTATACTAACGAATATAATTAATAAAGATTTTAGAGATGATTTGTATATTAGATGGATACTTTCGGTTGTACTGTGGATTCTCCCACCTACGAATTAAGGGTATAACATTTTTAATTACTTACATCTAATTGTACAGTCTCTGTAGATTTATTAACACTCGTCAGATAATTCAACTTTGGCTTGTTATCATTCATATTACTACTAGAGTAAATAGGTGGTGATGGTAACTTAGGTTCACTAGCAATAGTATTTTTCAGATCGTTTGATTTTTTACTCTCTTCATATAATTCTACCGGTTTTGATTGTACATCAGTTTGTATTTGTTGATTACAGAATTGTTTTTGTTGTGTTGGGTTGTAAATACAATTTTCCAATGTATCAATATAACGCATAAGTTGTTCTTTGAGCGTTTCGGTTTCCTATATATGAAGATTGAAATTCAATAGAAAATTAAGGATAAAATCAATTTTTTCAAACATACTTTTCGCAGAAAATATACAAATACATGTACCCTACTGTTTGCTGAAAAAGTTATATCTAAAGATTATCAGAAATCTTAAGTAAAATTATCAACAGAAATCAATTCACACTATCTTCTGACGTCTAACAAACCTCTAGATAAAAACATGTTAATTAACTAATTCCTGTCAGTTTGATCAGACAGATCAGGCAATTGAGCAGAGATTTGTATACGGCAAAATTAATCATATAAAACAAATCAATTATACATAACCAGTTAGATAATTAAACAAATTCAATCTAAATCACGTCTAATCAACTTTTATGTTTTACAAATATTTTACAAATTCGGTTAACAAAAATAAACAGAACGGAAGGAAAATTTCATTCACTGTCAAAGTAATGTTATCGGTATAAACTTCAAATAAAAATGAGCTATTTGAATTACTTCGAATGCAAGTGAAGGCTTGTTCTGTGGATTTTGAATATGATTCATTCCTATTGACAATTATCATGTCATTTTCTGCATAAATATCCAAATACAAAGTAAGCTCACTTCTATCTGAAACATCTGTTGACGTCGGTGTCTAGAAAGCAATACAAAATTCACGATTGAAATGCCCAGATTAGAGAATACAACCCCATCAGTATCATTCATTCTCTTGAGCCATAAAATTTTCCGAACATTGAAACAATGCGAAAAATAGACTTTCCATAAACTCAGCGAATTGAATAAATCAATCAATCAATTCTTAGCTTCTTTTTATGAGTTTTTTATGAGTTTAAAAGTAGTATATTTTCTCCGAAAACTTAATTTATTCAAAAGAAATCATGTCACTATTTTCTTTACTCCAATAAACCATTTTCACTTTCGACTGTGCATCACTGGTTATAAGGATCTTAAAAGCGTAATGTTATTCGTATGTTTTGTGGAAATCTGTGTTATCAACCACTTATGCAATATTTTAATATGTATTCTTGTTAAATTCTTGATAATATTTTATTTGTAACCATGAATCGATCAATGTTAGACCACCATTAGAAACCTGGAAGCACTGGACGGCCGTTTCGTCCTGGCATGGAACATATCATCAGTGTGCATCCACGACTCATTTGCTCTACATTATCAGGAGAAAATTCTCGGATTCCATCACCGTATTTTTCATGCAATCAACAGGCTATAAAAATTCTCATCTCTCCGAACTTCCAATCAAAGCACCAATAATTATTAGTCAGTTTAAACATGAAAGTAAAACACAATACTACAGCATACTACAACTGATAAATTTCAATACAGACGATTCTGATATAAACCTAAGTATGGACTATTTATAACTAGCTCATTAATTTCAGAAATAAATGACAATACTCAATCTATGAAATTATAGGTAAGGAACAGAGTCATATATAAAAAAAACTATGAAATGATCGTTCAGAATATTACGCATGAAATATCATAATTGAATTACTGAAGAATAGCTATGTGGCTAACAAACTACTTTTACTTTTCTCACATATTCCTCATCAATATAACACAGAATAACAAATAGATCACCACTTACTAACCGACTATCAAGTAATTAGGTGCTACAAATTTCAGTAAAGTGAGAGTACTGTTTATCTAATCATTGTGCACTATAAAATAAGTAAACTTAATAATTAATGGACTAACTTTTAGTTTGGTCTTCAAATTTTCAATTTCTACTTCATGATTCGTTTTCAATTTTTCAATATCCTTGTCAAATTTCAATTGTATTTCATTTAATTTACTCTTGTGATCTTCTTTTAAATTTGTTTGAATTTCATTAAATTCAATTTCCTTCGTTGATTAGAATAGAAGATTTTATACATAAAAACATTAATCAACTTTATTAAGTGTACATGTACAAATGATTATTTGAAATTCAATTAAGCTAATCAGAGACATGGCGGAAGCTGGAGATTAATTTATATCATTCTAACACTTTCTACCTATTCCGAGCTCACTAATTTGACGTCGTTACAAAACGATTGACTTGGTAGATCAGATAAACAGCTTAAAAGATAATATAACTCTACAGAAGGTGAAATTTAGCCAAGAAGAATAATTGATATGAACATTCGTTAAAATTTGAACAGTTAGTTTGTTAAATATCACGACCCAAATAAATAAGAATTATTAAATTTAAAGAATATGTTTGAGGTTATCTAAGCGACTTAAATCTAAATAATTTCAACTTTTCACCTGAAAAACTTAGCTGAGCTTCTCGATGGAAATAATCGATTATTTCCCTGAAGAACCTCGAAACAGTTTTACTATTATTTGGCCATATTACTTACTGAAATTCAGTAACTTAAAATATTGTCCGTCATTTTTAATGAATTGCTTTCATTGTTCTGTGATATTTTCAAGTGTTTGCACACAAAGTGACTTTTAATTGGTGTACTTCAATAAATGTTTTTGCTTGACAAAATTAACATGTGATCACTGTTTTCTGCATGTTCGCTGAACATTTGTTTATGTGTAACAATTACATAGATAAGATGAATATCCTGCTAGATGATCAAACTAAATTCTAATAACAAGGATCATGTAAGGAACTCAATGAAAAGTCAGAACGCCAATTAACTATGGCTTTAAAACTTTTAAATCAATAACAATACACATCTGAGTATATTTTAGTGAGCTCGACTCTATGACCTATCTAAGGTTCATAAACCAGAGGTCCTTTTATTTTCAATTTTAGATGTGTAAAAACTTACCACATCATTCAACAACAAAATGGTTAGTGAATTTTTGGAACCTTTACATCACTAGTTGGTCATATACAGAGTTAAAGATGTATTTGGATACCTCATCAAACTAAAAAAGAAAGGCGATCCCAGAAAGTTTGAGAATTACGGGGATATCACTCTGCTCTCAATACCAGCCAAAGCCCTCATCAGGATATTGTTAAACCGAATGAAGGACTCGGTAGACGCCCAACTTCGAGATCAACAGGCTGGATTGCGTAAGGATCGACCGTGTACTAGCCAAATAGCAACATTACGGATCATTGTGAAACAATCAGTTGAATGGAACTCATCACTATACATCGAATTCATTGACTACGAGAAAGAATTTAATAGTGTGGACAGGCCAACACTATGGAGATTTCTTCGACACTACGGTGTGCCCGAAAAGATAGTCAACATCATCCGGAATTCCTATGATGGATTAAATTGCATGGAAGACAGATAACAGACTCGTCCGAGGTGGAGACCGGTGTAAGGCAAGGCTGATTACTTTCACCCTTTCTCCTGGCGATCAACTGGATTATGAATACGTCAACATCTGGAGGAAATCATGGTATCCAATGGGCAGCTAAGGTGTAGCCGGACGATTTGAACTTCGCAGACGATCTAGCTTTTCTATCGCACACGCATCAACAAATACAAGAGAAGACGACCGGTGAAGCGGTAGCAGCATGTCTCAACAAACATAGAGAGAAAAGCAAGATCTTGCGATACAACACAGCATGCACCAACCAAATCATTCTTGATGGAGATTCTTTGGGGGACGTTAACACCTTTACATATCTTGGCAGCATCATTGATGAGCAAGGTTAATCTGATGCAGATGTGAGGGCGCGGATCGACAAAGCAAGGGTTACATTTCTACAACTGAACAACGTCTGGAACTCCAAACAAATATCAACAAACACCAAAATCAGAATTTTCAATACAAATGTCATGACAGTTCTACTGTATGGGGCGGAAACTTGGAGAACTACGAAAGCCATCATCCAGAAGATACAAGTATTTATAAACAGTTGTCTTCGTAAAATACTTCGGATCTGCTGGCCAGACAACACCGGTAACAGTGTACTGTGCGATGGAACAAACCAGATTTCGTTGGAGGGAGAAATTAGGACTAAGTGCTGGATGCAGATACAATACGCATTTCGGAGGTCACCTAACTGTGTCACAAGATAAGCCCTCACATGGAAGTTTTAAGGTCAAAGGAGAAGAGGAGGGCCAAGAAACACACTACGCCGAGAAATAGAGAAAGATATGAGAAAAATGAACAAAAATTGGACAGAACTAGAAAGGGAAGCCCTGGACAGAGTAGGATGGAGAATACGTAAGTAAGTATATATCATCCATTAGCCTTACAAAACCATCGGACACAAGAGCTATGTTTTTTGGGGACTTTATATAGATGTGTGTTGTTCGGCTTAATCAGCAAGAACATCAGGTTAGTGACTTAAATCCAAATAATCAGCATCACGATGCAATTTTGGTTCCTTTGATTATTTTTAAAAGCTGAAGTGATAGTAATGCATTTTTGGTCATTTGTTCAGACAGTGATTAAAAATAAGACAGTGTAAGTGATTCTCTCTGAGTGGTGATAATCCTCACCCTACTTTTTTAGAGAAGCATCCAGTGGTAAATAAATGTAAAGAGAATGTGTGATTTTGTTATCAGCCAGCCTACATTTTGCAGAATATTGAAAATATTTCATTTAATCTGAATCAAATGAAGTCATATGACATTCAACAGTGTTAATCTAATTCAAGTCTCTCACATAATTTATAACATCAGTAAACAAACTCAAAACCAATTGACTGATAGATTAAGAATAAAATCAGATAAATTGTATTAATATGTCTTGATCAATTTAGATTCCGTTAAAAATCAGATACAGCCTTAATCATTAAAATTAACAACGAATAGTTTGAAAAAGAATTTTCTGATTCTTAGCATGTATGTATATGTTGGAATTACTAGTTTATTATGTTTACCTGGATAACTAAACCAACTGAAATCCTGAGATTATTTGATTGCAATAAATAACGTAAGTATCGTAAGGTAAAAGAAATAATATTCAAACGTTATGTAGTGCATAAAATTTTATGAAACAAGTAGACAAATAATCAGATGAAATGGGTACTAATTGTCCAGATACACGCAACGCTTTAAATTTATATTGATCACTTAGGTATTTGGGACGTTAACTACTTTACTGATGATTTGGAATTCGTATCCTTTGTTTTACGGTATGTACCTGCCATAAAAACCTGTGGAGTTATTATTCATCAGTTTGTCAGTGTTCAGTAAGCTCAGAGTATCCACTGTTATCGGGAATATTTCGGTTCATTTAGTAAGTGACTGTTATATTCAGCAGTGTAACTTTCACTGGAAATTTCATTTCAAACATCTCAAAGTTATTAATTTCTCTCTCTCCCATGTTCGTGTCAGTGTAGCGCACCCTAACAAGCAGGATGAAAAACACAAATAACATAAAAGCTAAGGTTTCATAAGAAATCATGAGAAAAAATTTCGCTCTTTTATGTAGTAGTCACTCATCAAATGAATGCAAAAATGCTAGCAACTATTAAACACTACACAATTATTGAACATTGAGAAACGGATGGTCAACCCGTAAACAAAAGCTACTACATTTTTATCATTAACCCGTAATTAAACAGTCGAAATTTGATGAAAATTTATTGTGAAGAATATTTTTTGTTTATATGATTGTGTGATAGAAATTTGTTCCGTAAAAGAACTATAACTTGCTCTTGCTTCATATCAGCCCTAGCTAAAAGTTGATATTACTATAATTATGATTAAAAAGCTTCTATTGGAAGATGGGATATTTGATGTTTAACCAGATATCACTCAATAATTTCAACGTATAAATGAAGTAAAAGCCAGTGGTGATACCTGACTAGCTGTTGAAATTGTTTTTTTATATGAATGATTCTCTAAGAACAATGAATGACTCAAAAAATCAGGTGATCAAACAATTTGAATTTTTCGTATAAAATAAAAGACCATTCGACAATCAAATTTCCAAAATGGTTTTTGTTTACCTTAGATATCACTTTTTCATTCATATTAATAAACTGCGTATTCGAATAAATAAAATGATTAACACAATTATAATATGAGAGTTTGTATACAATTTTATGCGCGCATAACAATAAGCGTAATCAATAATCATTGATTTCGTTACCATAGTCCCCACCAAATCAGTCAACACTTAGCTGTAAAAAGCACTTCACACAATAATAATCAATATTTAGACCACGGAATGAATTATATACGAATTTATTCATATGTATAAGCAGTTTGTTGATTAATTTATTGGACGTTATGGAGTTTTACTGCTTTTGATGGTTATGATATTAGGATGAAGATCGAAGGAATTGTCACTGTTAGAAATAAATTCTGAAGTAGTATATATATATATATATACATATTCTCAAACTTAGAGACACTTAGCCACAGAGTAAAGAGTGGACGCAAAATAGACTGAATTAGTATTAGGATGCTGATTAACAACTGATCATTCGATATTTGTCAGCGGCCATAAAACATCAGTGGTAATATATATTTTACACATCACTTATATTTTTTATTAGCATAAACCCCACTTGGAGACCCTCTGGGGCTACTGCCGGTTCCAAGCCCGGATAAAGGAGGAGGGTTGGGCTTGGGGTTGGCAACGTCATCCCACATAAAAACTAACTCGCTAAAAAAACGCTAACCAGAAAACATGATTCAAACCAAGTAAGTAATTATATTTTTCATTAATATCACATAATTGACTGACGGAATGACCACTTCACAGTTTCTTTGAAAATAACAACAATTTCCAACAGTCGAAACATCTTAGAGTTAATCAAAAATCACTGAAATTATTATACGCAATAGGCTTTTAAATGAGGTATGTCTGCAAATAATCTGTCAATCAGTAGTGATAGCAAAAAAAACAATAGCTATAAGTTCATTGAAACATGTTAGAAACTTGTTTAGATGAGGATTAGTTTATTTGAGGTTTTTCACAGACACATTTTCTGATTCCCTGGAACTATATAGTCTTCCTAAAAAAGTTCATGCATGTATCAACAGATACATCAACACAGACCCAATTCAAAGGTCAATTAGTCACGTGTTCAAAGGTCAACTGAAGAAGACTCCCAATATAAGGAGAAATAATGATTATTCATAAACAAGGCCATCAAAATGAACTGATTTAACGCTTATGGCTCACATCTAATTGAAATTAATGCTGATGATGTTGCCTAGAACAACAGTGGAAACTTTGCAATTTAAGCATCTAGATCAGAAAACTTGATAATATTCAAAGAATTTTCTTTAGCTGCAAATCTTTTATGTTAGCTATTCTGATGCTAGTATTTCGAAAATAATTTTTTTGAATTTAACTAAAAAATAACATCTATATTCAGGTATTAAACATTTTAGATAAATTGTTGATTTTATCTTACACAAACAAATAAAAATAATAACAGTAATTTAAAAAGATCCAAATAATCACCTTTTCCTGTTTTATTTTCAATAATTCATCATCCATTTTCTTTTGCAGTTCTTCTTTTTCTTGACTATTAATATTTAATTTATGAGTAACATCTTGAAGTTCTTTACTACACAGAAAAAAAGATGCGAGGTTACAAATCAATGCACAAACAAATGAAATTAATAGTGAATTCATTTAAATCATTAGTCTGTTGAAATTTATATTGTGGAAAGTATGTAAATATATATATATATTATATATATATATATATATATATATATATATTATTCACTTCATGTAAATTTGAGTTAGGATAAGCTTATCTCATAAGGTGCAAAACTGACTTCTTGCCAGATGATATTAAATCTCTGGCACAAAACTACCCACAAATTATACATATACCTGCCAAACATTCAAAATAAAATAGTTTCTTAAATATTTCTAGATTAGTTGTCATTAGTGGTCAAATGTTTCTGGCTCATTAAGCACCTTAAATCACTCGAACTTCCAAAAGTAGGAGTATCCTACAATTTTGAAGTGTTTAATATAATAACCGTATTACAAACTTGCTTAATATAACCCAGTAATACCATATTAAATTTGGTTAATCAGTATCAAACAATTTTGTATTAAATTTAAAAGAAAAATGAAAACAGAACTTCCATACTTACCAGAGATATTCTTTTTCACATAATAAATCATGAATTTTATTTTGACTGATTCTTAAATGAATATTCAATGTTTCAATTTCATATTCATATTTCGTGGATGCTTTCGATGTTCTAACAGAAAGATCAGTTATTTCTCTTTGTAATTTCACAATATCTAAATCATGTTGTTCATTTTCTTCCTGATAATAAGAAATAATTGTTGAAATGTTAGTATAAGAGATTTGGTGAGTCTTGTAGTTGATATCAAAAAGAAGGAGTTTAGAAAACGATTGAAAATCAGTAAGTTGAAGAAGGCTTTTTCATCTTATGATCGGTTTTATTACCAATGTTCAGACAAAACCCATGTAACTTTCAGGTTGTCAATATTACTCAGTTACATTGTAATCATGATCCAGCCTAAGTCAGATCACCAGTAAAAACCAAAAAAAACACTAGAAAACCACTTCATCAGAAGTACGCGTTCACAACCCATCGATTCATGATTTTAATGAAATATAACTAATAGTAGTTGGTTATATAAACTATGAGGACCTAAAATAGGCCGAGTCTAATTTGTGAATTCTTAAGCTCTTTGAGAGCATGAGTGAGAATCACCGAACTATGTTACAAGGTAAACACTACCTTGGAATATTCATGACTGAAAGAAAACAACACACTACTCCGGAAATTGGATGCAGACATCAAAAGAATGGATGACATTTGAGAACTACTAAAAAGGACGGCTCAGGACATAATAGGTTAGAAAATCCTGGTTGATGGTCTACGCTCCATGATGCGTAACAAGAGTAGGTAAGTAGGTAAATAAGTAAGAAAGTAAGTGGGTGGTTCGAGCGACATTATAGTCAAGTATATAACTTCTCATGTTTTGTAAACTAGGTGTGTCTATTCTTTCACTTGTTCATTCGTCAACAAGTGTATTTTAGATTAAATAAAACGATGAATTGACATAGATCCCTCTCTTTTTATATTACATAGGATTTTTAGCACCTTTTGTGGATATGATAACTTGTTATCGAAAAAAGTAGTCCACAAAGTAGTAACTATTGAAAATACGATCGACTTATGGTTACAGGCAACATTGTAGTATTCAGTCAAAGAATCCATATTTCAATTGAAGCTGTATAGATCACATCTTGAATTTTAACAATGGAAAATGATAAAATCTCACAGATTTCACATTTCTTACACATCGAACAAGTAAATAGTCATTAAAGAAATATTAGATAGCTAGTAATCGTTACTTCAGTGTTAATATCCTTATTAAAACTAGAATCTAGTAAACTTCTGTTTTATTCAGTATACTTCTGAATTTTAATGTATGTAACACATTCCCACAGGTCAGTCGTGACCCTAACTGCCCAGTCGCAACATTTCGGATTATAAAGCTGGGTGACACGGCTGTGAAGTTCACAGGGAGCACCATTCCCTTCAAGGTACACATGCACCTTGTTGACAAGTGCCAAATAACACGAGACATATATCTAGAGTTACCTGTTGACTACTTTCAGTTACCTAATCACCATTAAACACCCCTTATATACTTAACAGCGATTCGGCGCAAAAAATTACTCAAAAGTAGGATTTTGTTACTGAAGATTGTTAAAAACTGTGAAGCACCAAAGAGCTTCCATTTTACAAGTAAATCGATGTAAACAGAAAGTTTTTATTTAAAGCTATGAGAGTGATAAATTTTTCCAGTGGTGCTAATGATTGTTCGTAATCGGACACGGGAAACACATAGTCCTAACTCGTTAAAATAAGCACATAGTACTTTCCACGAGACTTTACCTTCAAAGAGTTCTTAAGTTCTACAACCCAACTGCTCAATGGTTCTTGATTTTATTGAATTTTATCAAAGAAAATAAATTTAGATTGTAAGCTTATCTCAACGACTTACAAACTGTATTAGAAATCACTTGAATATGTATGCTATTTCAGTTTGAATAAAACAGAGAACAATAAATAAACGTATTTTCCTACAACTGATATCTAACTTGTACTCATAATACCGTTCTGATTAAAAAAACTCCTTAAAACGGACTGATACTAATATTATCATTTTGAATGGGGATCAGAATTAGTAAGTGTTTTTTTTCCTACATGAACTATAATTTACCAAAAAGTTCATCAAAACCTACTAATTTTCAGACTGACATCTCTATTTTGAATTTGATTTCTAGTCCGATTCGCTCTTCTTTACAAATCATTGAATCGATTTCAATCTCAAACGATAATGGTTTCGATATACCTTTTTTGTACCAATTAGTCATTATCTTTTAGAATAGATAGATAGTGGTTATTAGCATTGGAATGTAGGACTCACGTTCTGTTCTATTTAGGGAATTATCATCAGGATTCACTTGCAACTATTCATTTTAAGAAAAGACTATTTTCTTTTTAACAAAATAGATAATTACTAGGCAATCATGGAAAGATACATATGCCAAAAAAAGTTTTATTAAACATTCCCTCCTGAATATCGAAAACGCAACTAATAAATGTACCATTTGAGAATAATGAAAATTCACCTGAAATCGAACCCAAAATCTTTCACCTTAATACAGTTGAATCTAACACTGATTTTAATACATGAAATCAGACTGACTCAATGGACTTCATATTTGGTTAAAATAAAGTAGAAACTTTAGTCATTTGACTGACTTCGGGAATATACATACATAGATTATCAGGAAACCAAACTGAATTATCTTAAAAGTATGCATGTAAAATTATATAACTACACATTATGTAACCGGGACTGAAAACTGAACGTTGTAAATTAATCCATACTTCTCTGCTAATAACGACCGACCATCAATAATTTGGAAATAATCACATTTAAATTAGTAATGTACTTTTTACTTTAATGTTGACAATATGCGATTGTAACTTATATAGATTTCCGCTATTAGTAATTTACTAGTTTTTGGAATAATCACTCTATTTTTCTCAACAAAAAAGTAAAGAAAATTAAATTAGATTAGTTTAAGTGAATGGCAAATGGATGTTTTAGTCTATTTTAAATTGATGAAAAACAAACAGGAAATGAGAAATAATTCAATTAAACTTAGTAAGCTTGTTGTAGTTCCTTTATATTTAATGATTAAAGGCATTCTAGCTGAAGTTCATTAGTGGTTGGCAGTTGAATTCAGCATGTGTATTTGTTGCGGATGTTAGATCCGACAGAACTCACTTGGAAAAGGTCCTAATTCTGTAAGTTATTTTTGAAATTTTGGATTTTTATGTTTTCGCGCCAAGAGACGCCCAGTTGACCTACAGCTTACATTACCCACTGTGAAATCCTTTACTGCCCTTGGTTGATGGATTATTTTTCTATGCTACATTTGTGGCTCTCCCAAGGGCGTTTCTATCATTGTATAAATAAGCTTGATTGGTGCGCTTGTCAACCTCGTATTTCTGGGTGGTTGCAGAATACACTTTCTACTCCTTATCAAGACTTCTCGATCTAGTTAGCAGGGCCGGGGACAAACGGATTAGGATAGCCTATCGTGTCACTGGGTCATTACTCTTCGTTCCGTTTACATAGTAAGGTGAACTTGTAATAGTTTCAAGCACATCAATTGGCGAGTATATCAGTATTTCATTCGATACTGAAGTGGTCAGCTGGATATATATCTGTACCTCATGATGCACCCATCCTTAATTCTATTACTAGACACTATTCAACGTTTATAGAAAAAAACCTATGACTAATTGGAGAATTCGAGGTAATCCACTGAGGATCGAGATATGCTAACAGAAACAGATCAATGACAATCCTTAACATCAACACCAGAAAAATACAAAGTATCGCTTGTGGAAGAAAGTCATAACCAGTGTTAACGTAAAATTAATTTTTTCCCCCATGTATAAGATATTAATTAATGATAATCAGCTGGAAGAAATGTTGACAAATGCATTAGCGAAATACCTAATGTAACGTTCAATAGTTAAGTAACAATGATATTTACCATATGATATTATTAGTATGCTAGTACGATTTAAGTCTACCTACTAACAGTTAATATTGTTCCGCTTATGTCAAGTGATTTTCAAGTAAATATTTCCTCGGATTTATAATCATATTATTATTTCTCTCAATTTATATCACTTCTCCATTTTCTGACTATTAATTTCATTTCAACGCTAATAATTTTATTTTTTTGTTTACGTAAAGACCACCACTTAAAAATATTGATTTGTTTATTCAGCTGTAGAATATTCTTCCCTTACCTATCTGTGTTTTTAATAAAAACAGCTTTTATTTAGCTGTGAATAAAATGCGCTCAATAAACGAAGTACATCTATTGAGACAGTGAAAATAAGAAAGATTAGTTTAATGGAGAGTTCTCATTTCGGTAAATTCATTTACAAGTCTGTCAATATGACCAACATCTACTTTGACAAAATGACAATCAGTAATTTATTTGTTACTAATAATGATAATAATAATAATAATAATAATAATAATAGTAGTAGTAGTAGTAGTAGTAGTAGTAGTAGTACTAGTAGTGATAACTTAATGAACGGAACGCTAAAACCGCTTTCAGAATGAGCTCGTCGGAAAACGTTTTCCTTGAATTAATTTTTTTTATTTACAGTATACTAATTAGCACTAAAATGTGGTAAATGATGGTTTTTTTTATTGACACATTTTAAATTTTCATGGTTTCTGTCTGACAATGGAACTGAAGAATTACTTTATCTAGCCCCTCTCCTTGCATGCTAAAAAGTAAAATACTTCGCAGAAATCATTATTACATTAAGTATTTCCTAGTTAGGATTAATTTTTTCAGATATAATTACAATTTGTATACAAGATTATGTGATAAGTTATCGTGAACCAGTTTATTTTACGTTGCATGATTAATTAATTGACGAGAAGTGCTGAGTACAGGTTTCGTGCTCTTTGGCATCCAGTATTAACGTGTTTCTGCAATCATTTACCCGGTAGTAAACCAACTCTTAAAGAGCATTCCAGATCTAACTGTTAAATTAACTGTAGTGAGTCTCAATTTATAAGAAGCACTGCTTCTTACAGATTGATTTGTACTAACTGGCGTTTAATGTAGCTCCAGAGGTACTTGCCTCTCGGTAGCTAACAAACAGAATAAGAAAATAAGAAACTTCATTTACTTTGAAAAGTTAACTACTATTGTCCTTATTGTAAACTATCAATGAAATTATTTTAAGTAATAACTGACCGAACATTAATCTCTATTAAGGTTTACAATAAATATTTCAATGATCTTATTTTTAATTAAAGTACGATCAATATTATTCATTTTCTCTCATTTTATAGATCACGTATCATTCATAAACGCTGACCTTATTTTTTTTCAGAACTGTCATAGTAACGCATTAATTAATTGTCTACATGTTGTTTTCATAAATTAAAAAAATGCATTGCGTCGGGGAAAATAATAACACAAATAATTGCATTATTGTTTAAATATTATACATTTAGGTATTTTAAACTATTCTTTGTACTGTCCATGTGAACCAATTTGTTAATTTTGCTTGACATATGTAAAACAATACAAATGCTAAGTTGTTGATTAGTTTTGTGCTTTAATAATGGCAGTAAAACAGAGTTGCAGAAATGTAAATATAAAGGAAGTCTATTTATTTCTGATGGAATGACATTAGGAAATTTTAAACTAATTAAGTTCATATCCTCCAGCTTATCAGAAGTCGAACATGAAGCCAACAGTTCTTATGGCGTGCTCTATACCAACCAAGTTGTAGTCTAACAGTTTACATGTCTAATTTAGATAAATTACTGTTACGCTATCATCTACTACCCAACCAACCAATTCTAGTCATTGGTGTGGTACTACAATGGACTAGCCTGTAGGAAAAACATTTGTCTATCGCTCAAAACTTTTATAATAGTAGAGAAAATTTTTCCTTTGCAACTATTGAGCAAAATTAACAGTGTTAAGCATTCAAAATACCTAATCCCATCTCTTAAGATTGCATTTAAGAGGAAAATTAATCCTATCTCTAAATTCTAACCACTAATCCTTAATTCAGAAACAAACTTGAACTTAGTAACACTACATTTGACAGACTAACTAATCCTGAAACCCTTTATCCTTACCACAACTACCTAACACTTATCACAGAATGTTTGGAACCTTGCAAATGTTCAACATGAATAGTCTTTGTCTATAACGACGAGTTCATAAATTATTGTTTTTTTCAGGGAACAAGCAGAGTAACTTGTAGAAGAACTTAACAAATTCACGTATTCTATAAGATCTACTTACACTTTGCAGCATTATTGTCCTCTGTACAACAAACTTCCTATTTAAATAAAGTATCTTACGATTAACTCATAAATAACTAGAAATTAATCATGGTTATTTTAATCATAATCACATACTATAACTTTTGACGTTAATGTAGAATAGAGATTATCTCATTAAAAAAAAAACTACTGATGAAATTAAACTAACTTTCATTTTCTGGTCGTAACACTGACTAACTGCATTCACTTCGACTTCCTTTTGTTTGAGTTGCTCTTTCAGGGAATTTATTTGACTTTGAAAATCGATTATTTCATTTTGTAGTTGTTCATTAGCAGATTTGATTTGATTTGCTTTATTAATGCGTTCTTGAATTTCCTATAATTCAATATATGTATAGATCTTTATACATGAAATGTTTTATTTATCAAAACAATAAAAAAAATTAAATTATTATTTATAGGTAGGAATGTATCAACAACTAGAAATTTCATACATATTGTTCCGTTTATCGTCTTGAAGAGAACAAAAACAAAGATATGAGTAGAATAAAATGAATTCATTTAATTTTGTTTGATTCATATCAACTGCTTACATCATGTAATATATTAAAAATGGTTATGACAAATCGGTTTTACATTACTAAAATGAAACAGTTTAGTTAGAAAATGCTATAATCCCATATCAGTATAGTAAAGTAAGAGTGCAAATGATTTTACTGAACCGAATAAAATATTGCAAACATATACAGAAGAACATTCTACAACACTGATAATAGGAAAATCTAAAGGGCTAGAAATAAGTGGTCGAAATAAAAAAGCAATGATGTAATTGGCTAACAGAAAGAGTTGAACAAGATTTGTATGTAATGAAAAGTAAAGAAAGATTAACAACCATCTCTTTTTCAACAAATGAATCAGGCGGTGGTATGAAAGGGCCTCTTTTGAATCTTTGATTAGATTATTGAATATATTGTTTTATACAGTATTTACAGTTTTGCCGCTAATGCAGAGTAAAGCCTTCTGTTGATTGTGCTTGCAGCATCAGCATCTTTGATGTTGAGATTTATTAATATTTTGTTTTTATTGCATGTTAGTCATAGTCAACTTGTCTTCTGTAGATTTTTTAAATTTGTCAATAAATTTCAATGGCTGGTAGTTATCTGTTGAACATTTTCAATGTTCATAAACTGTTCTTCCAGTTTGTGAAAGATAGACATCCTTTCTACTCTATAAAATAGTGTTCTTACTAACGCTTTCTTGTAATTGATTGGACAAAAATTATTGAAATTCAGATAAAGACCATTCCAGATACTTTACCGATAAACTGAACTTTGAACTATTCCACCTGTTCTCCATCATAAGCCAATATCAATGAAGTGGAACATATCATTCTTTTTGTGCTCCAAAGTAAATTATAAGTTGGGATCAGCATTATTTCAGTTTCATTTTTCAGAAATCAATATTAGCCGATTGAAAGACTAGTTGATAAAACTTAAATATTGCATTTATCCTGTAAGGTGGATTGTGCTTGTTGATATAACAGCTAGGAAAGAAGAAGTATTGGCTACTTTATTTGCTTGGCTAATTAATAATCATGAGACCAGTGATACTGTTTTTCCTGGACATACTGAGTTTAAATGATATGTTTAGATTTAGTCATCTATTCAAAACCAAGTGATCAGTAATTTTTATCATGGAGGTTTAGGTACAGTGTTGAATGTAAATGAGATCAATCTCACAGCAAGTTCACAGCTAGACTCGTAAACTATTGGGTCTCAGAGTGGTGGTTTAAAGGCTAAGCTCTTGCCAGAAGACCTGAATGATGCGGCTAAAAATCATTTGCACTGACACAGGTATATTCTTTTTCCTCTCCCAAATTTTTAAGTTTTCGAGTTTATCATAACTGTTCTTCTTCTCCAACTTGTATTCTCTTGAAACCTAATATTTTCTGTTACTACTAATACTGTTACAACCACTGCTCTGGGATTCGTGTGACAATTTCGTTTCTCTGTGCTAATGGAATATAGCAAAACGGAACTGATGTATGTACGTTACAAGTACTAAGTTTCGACTGATTGACTTTTAAACATTCTCTTGTATTGCAGAATTATATATATATATATATATATATATATATATATATATATATATATATCCCATTATCATTTCAATTGAAACTTACTTGTTCTAACTGTTTAATTTGTTTTTGATAAAATTTTTTATCTGCATCATATTCAGATGAAATTAACTGAAGTTGTTGACTTAATTCAAAACGGGCAGCTTCAACAGATTCATATTTCAATCGAAGTTGTGTTGATTGTTCTTTTTCTTTAGCTAATGCAATACTCTAATGTAATTAAAATATCAAAATAAGCATCAAACTTAAAATGAAAATAAACCTTAAAAAGTTTGGTGTTTCATAGAAAGAAACATATATTTTAATAGTGTGAATGTTGAAAAAGTGAAAAGTTCATATATTCTGGGGAAAAGTGATTAAAATTCTACCTCGAAAATAGTATTAATAGATATCAACTAGAGAAATAATGAAAACTTCATTAACACTTGACAAATGTTTCATCGTGGTACCTTGAATATAGAGAGTACACAAAGTTACACGGGGTAATCAAGTATAGAATTCAGATCAAATATAGCTAAACAATCTTTGGCAGTGCTTAAGTAAGTTCTTTTCAGGGATTTAATGCAAGTGAGGTTACTTTAATCTTAACACGACATTATCTTATACCTGAGGGAATCACTTGCAGTAGAATGAGAGATTTCTTTAGTCTTGCTAAAGGGTAAATACGACGATACTACACCTACTATTGTGTAAAGTACTCACAGCTTCGGATTTAACTATACTATGTAATTCAAAGCATCATTTGTTATTTTTTCGCTGAACTGTGGATAATCACTGCATAAGAAGAAATCACCAACGAGTTCCTCGCATAATCACTGAGGCAAAAGGAAGATTAACAATTCATTAAGACCTTGAGTATTTGCTGATCAATTTTTATATTCAGAATTCAAAATGAATTGATGAATAACTTTTGTAGCTTTGGATAAAGATATTGGAGATGTTGTGTTCTGTGGGTTGAATAGTTTAGTTATGAAGCCTAACTGCTCTGGTGCTCCACAATCTGACTCGATATGACTGAACAGAGTTGATGTTAATGATTTTCATTTGTGTTTACTTCGTCTATGTTCTATAAACTGATCCCTTAATTCACAACGTAAAGAGAAAAAGTCGATCATGAAAGTATTTAGGAGACATATATTTCAGATATTCGATAATGCGGACAAACGACAAGGAACGTGGAAAAAAGCATACAGACTGGAGTGGTAGAAACAGCCAACTCAGAAAGTAATTTGTTGCTCAGTTTTTCTAAGCTTAAATCAGAACCATACTTACCGGCATACAAACATGTATAAGGCATGCTCAGGGTTACACATGAGTAACTGGTAAGGTCGAATATACGAGTGGTAGGAAAAATAAAAAATTAGAATGATCTTGCTTTCCAAAAGTTAAAACAAGTCATGTACAGAGATTTTCGCTACACACTCCAATCATGCATAAATCAGCAGATATGTCAAAATTGACCCAACTAGCCAATAAGAAAGAGAACTAACAACTGCAAGATCAGAGGAGAAAACTATTAAAAAGCTTACAAACAACATCCGCACAATAATTAACAAGAGGCAGACCAATTCTCGGTCTACAGAATAAATTGTTACTTAATAGTAGAACAATGTTTACTAACTAACTACTCTTTGAAGTACGTGCAGATGATGTCCAGAAATTCTCAAATACTATTTGATCCATGAAGTTTTCATATTATTGGATCATGGTCTAATCTTTCTTCTGACATTAAAAATTAACGTCATTCCTCAATCTATACCCGTTAAATAGGTTGGAATGGCCTCTAGTTTTGAAAGGGAAATGTCAGTTTTCTGGTGATTGTGGATTTTTCCTACTGACGAGAGGTAACCAGCATAAAATTGTGGTCCGAAGCATCCTACCAGTTTTCCCGATCTGCTTGACCTAAAACATGTAGCTCAATATCCTTTAATTGAAACTTAGCAAAACTCATAAAAATCAACTAAGATCTTATCCGTGATTAGAATACACGGTTTCTATCATTTACTTGTAAATATTCTGTTTTAGGACTCAATTTTTACCTTTCATGACCTCGTCAAAATATGATATATTTTTATATCTAATTTTCCTTCTCAATACTGACTACTACTTGATTCCCTACACAGAAAACTTCAGAGTTATCTGTTGAAAATAATTGTAAAAACATTAGGGAACTTTTATGTCAGTATTCGCTAGTATTATTGGCTCTGTAAACAAGAAAGCATTAACAAGTTCTAGGATACTCTGTTATGTAAGACTATCTTCTTGTTATAATTCGGTAAATTATTCCCTTTAGTTTTGCAAACTTAAAAGCTAGAAACTACCTGTATGGTTTTAAATTGAAATCACTATATAGCTTACACACACACACACGCACACCGAGATCAAAATTACATTTTACAAATTTAAATTTACTTGATTAGAAAGTATTTCTTCAAACTGTTGTAGATCGAATTTACTTTCATTCTCTTTCATTCTACTATGAAGCTGTTGTTTAGTTCTTTCAAAATGTTGATTTAATTCTGTGATAGAATGCTCTAATGAAAGTTTACGTGCTTCCAAAAAATTAATATATGTTTGTAACATTTCACAGCGTGTTTTTAACAACTTAGATTTTTGGTGTATATTTTCGAAATTCTTGTAAACAGTTTTATTGGGTAGTTTTATTTCACCATAATAATGTGACTGATTTTTGTCAGGTAAGATTCGTGGAAAGATTTTATCTGAAAGTTCCTAAAATATATTGAATAAAAAACAAAATACTCATAAATTAATTCTTCTGTTGCATAGCAAAGATTAATCCATCTTACAATTAGCAGGATTGATATATAATACATAAGACATAAACTGTGGAAAGTTTTAGCCACTAAGAGACTGTTGAAAAAACAAACCCATTTTATAGTTGATTTTACAAAAGATTAATTGATTTACTGCATACTTAATATTTAGTTAAATTAGCATTAAACTAAAACCGTAATGTAACTAAAATGGTAGCAGACTAAAATGGCGACTGCATTAACTCTGTGAATGTTCGTTAATTGCTTACAATTTTTAGAAAAGGTAGTAGTAAGTTATCAACAACTAATGTACACACTTTATTGTATATAATTGAAGACGATTGGAAAAATGACTATAATTACGGAATGAATAAAAAGTGATCAAATAAATAAATATTTACGATACTGTTGGCGACGTTAGATCCCCAGAACACACTAGTTAAATATCTTTATTTCGGATTTATTTCATGGACCGATCAGTTGACCTTGAAATCACATTTCCCACCAGGAAAATCCTTGGCTGTGATTGGTTACTGTGTCATTTGAGTATAAATAAACGTGATTTGCCTGCTTGGAGGTGTTTGTAGAATACACTTTCTACGTTATATCAAGACTTCTTGCTGGTACAATTGGGTCAATCGGATCACAGAAGCCTACCTGGACTCTGGTTAATTGTTTCGTTCTCGTTATTCGACTAAGGTGAACCCGTAATAGTTTAAAGCATACCTAGAGACCGGGCATAATAGATACTAACTGTCAATATCATCCAAGAAAAATTTTAAAACACATGAAGAAACGTTTTTAGAGAATAATAACAACTATACATCTGGATAGATTAACCTGGAGAAAAATGTGTAAAATTCAAGAATGAAGGGAATTTGTTGTTTAAATTATGACAGAAGATGTTAAGTAACTGGATATTGTAAAAGAATTGAAGTGACCAAGATGATGAAATGGTCACTACTGTATCCATTTGAATACATAGGATTAGTTCTAATTTTTCTAGTAATGATGGCTGTAAGTGTAATGTGATTCAGTAGAATTTGTCTAAGTATAAATTATTTTGAATGATTAGAAAATATCAATGCTGTATTCACCATCATCAGGCAGATGATGAACAATAAAACTGTCAGATACACATTCATCTTATTAATCCAGATGTAATGTGATGTGAAAAGCTAAAATAACTCTTCTTTATATTGAATTTTAATTTATATTTGATTTAACTTAAATGATTGAGGTTCAAACAGTTCCGGTATTTTCCTGATATCCTAAACTGAGTATTTCGAGTGAAATAATCAAATTATCAACAAAATTTAAAGTTGAAAAAATTCTGTATTAAATAACTTTCCGAATGATGTCCAAAATTTGATTGGATAAAGATTTATTGCGTAATTAAATTTGACCACATTGATCATTGGTAATTTTTATTGATTTCCTGAATAAGCTCGAACTAGAATGCCAATGAAAGATTAGAACTATTTCAGTTTCTATTGCCGATACCATCATAACACAAGTTCGCACACAAACTTTATCCAACTTATTTCAAGGATTCTGTTAAGTAACTACCTTTAAAATGGTTAGATTGACGACTATTTCGGAATTATATCTCAACATTAATAAACGTACACATGGAAGAAGAGACAGAAGCCGGTACTTTTCAAGAGAACTTTGATGTCACAAGAATAGATAATGAAATGCATTAACATAACAGTTTTTTTTTTATTGTTCTAGACAAAACAAACAATACGACAGGCAATCACCTTTGTCACACTATGCTGCCATAATTATACTGTAGTACGAAAAGCCGTGATTATAGTCGTACGTTCAGTATCATCGGCATATCATAATATTGATTTAAATCAATCTATAGAAATAAAGATTTGATATTTATGTTATTTGTTTAGTCAGTAGAGGAGATTTCAACCAATGTTCCTATTTTATTTGCTTATCTTGTGATTATTGAGGCAGAGGGTAAATAAAAGATCTCCGATTAGCTGAAACTTTATTAACTTAGCATGTAGGCTTTGAAGGACTAAGCATATTCAGAACAATATGCATACATGAATACTTATCAACTGTACATTCAAGACCGACATAGTAAATTATAAATTTTCAGCAACTAACCTTGTATTCGTCATTACTATCATCGTCTCCACCATCAGATATCGGAACAGTTACATCATTCTCATCAAGATCACCGATTTCATCTTCTCCTTGTTTATTTTTAAGTGAAGTTATACTTAAGCTGTTCACATCAGTTTTTCTTTTTCGTTTAACAGGATAATTCAATGGTACTGAACGTAAATCAGTAAGAATTTGTTCAGCTTTTAATTGAATATCTTGACTTAATTTATCTGATGGTTCACTAATTGTGACATTTTTCTTGTCTTCATTAAAATCACCCATTGAATGTGATATAATATTATCAGTAGTATTTGTAAGTTTATCTGAGTGTTTAGTTTGTTGAAGATGAATTGATTCATTTAAAATATCCACTTCATTGTCTGATTGACAAGGATTAGGTGAGTTTCTATTACTAAATTTATAAATACAATAAAAATGATTCAAAAATAAAGAATAGAAACAATTCAAAATGTCATAATGAATTATTGTAAAATGCGTTTGTTTAAATGAAACTATTTGATGCGATTTGATATGACAAAAGTTGTTTGTTTATTCAGTGTAATTATAAGTTTGGTACTGTTATAAGGCTAAATGAATTTGTACTAAAAAATAATATAGCAAACTATTAACCAATGAAATTTAAAGAATTTGATATTAAATTTTTCTAGGTTATTCAGGTTATTCACTTTTAAACAATTAAACACTGACACCTTCACTACCAACACTTAGAAAATTATTTCAATTATTTGTAGAATGTTTAGCTACCTGATGAAAGCCAAAACATACTTACCATTGAGAGGTTGTATCACAAACTGAGACGTCAGTGATCAAGCCAGAATCATTTGATGGTGACATTTTTTTGAAATCCTGGTTTGAAATATCTGAAATCAAATCATGAATAATTATGATGCCTGTAATCCAGTAATTTATATGGATAATTCTAAAAAAAACTTCGGATTTATCAACGTAATAAAAAATGAAATGAAAATTTTCAAAGGACACACATAGGGAGTAAGTATTTCTCAAAGTTTTGAAGCTTTATAATTTTGGACTTTTCACAATAAAATATGTTGACGTTGACATAATATGAAATTTGTTTTTGAAGGTTAAGGAAACGACCACTCGTCATTTCACTAAATAACATATTTGAAAAGTCAACTTAATTATGACAGTGAGAAAAATGATAATTATTAATTAGAACTGGAACAAATATTTTTGTTTTAAAATTCCTGTCTAAAACAAATGGAAAATCAAGTGTTAAAATCATAATTATAAGAGCTAGGATTACAATGCTAACCAACTGAAAGAATGAAATAATATAACATCCTATGAACAATGGTGCCTCACACATTTGAATGTCCTAAATTGTTTATTTCGCTACTAGCTGATAAGCTCGTTAATTGATATGCTTGAAACTAAGACGAGTTCACCTTATTAGGTAAACGGAACGAAGACAAATGATTCAGTAACACGATAGGCTATTCTAATCCGTTGACCCCGGCCCGGCTAATTATATCAAGAAGTCTTGATCAGGAGTAGAAAGTGTATTCTACAAGCACCCAGATATAAAAGGTTTACGAGCAGACAAATCGGGCTTGTTTATATATGATAGAAACGCCCTTGGGAAAGCCATAAAAGTAGCGTACCAAAATAATTCATCAACCAATGACAGTCAAGGATTTCCGATTGGGAAATGTAATCACAAGATAAACTGAGCAGCTTATGCGTGAAAACACAAAAATTCCAAAATTAGGACCTTTTCCAAGTGAGTTCTGGGGATCTAACGTCCCCAACACTAACACTCCCTGAAATATAGGGCAATGAACCTAATTATTAACAACAGGTTCAATTAGATATGACTGTAAGACAAAAATACATGGTCAAAGTATGCATATATATGTTCTACAGGCAAGAAACAAGATTGAAAATGTGTTAAACATCCAATTTGAAGCATAAGCTTGGGCATGATTAAGATTTAGAGAATAATATGTGACACTGAGGATTCTGTATGTTATGATAGCTAATTAATCCATAATCAAATGGTCATTGAAGCCATAGCATTCATTCCCAGGGCCGGATTGAATTTTGTTAACCAAATTTAGGGAACTTTTGCTTAGTTCTCTAATCAGTTTCCCATTATGTGACCTTGAGTGGTCGAAATCTATCAGTCAGAACGTTTTAAACTCAATTCCGATAATTCTTGGATGAGATCAGTTTTCCCCTGAGTTTATTAAATTCGGAAAAGAATAATTCTATATCCAGGTTATCCTAACAATACCCAATCACGTTTCAGTATCAATTATCAAAATCAATCACCTTCAAGACTGATTCAGTTAAAATGACATTCATGATTGCTTTTTTCTGGATGCTAACTAATCCAAGCGTTGTTAACTTATGCAAATCATAGTAGATGGTCTTACATTATCGTTATGGCTGATTAGGTGAAAAGCACCTGAGTTCGAATCCTGCCGAATGGCAAGAGTCGAGGATGCACACTGCCGGTAAGTCCCATACCAGGACGAAACGACTGTCCAGTGCTTTCGAGTTTCTAATGATGGTCTAACAATGATTCATTGAGGACTTCAACGTGTAAAAACACTGATCTCCATAACTCTAAATGAAAAAATGTTTACAAAACTTATGCAGTATATAAGAGTAAATAACACACACTTTCATATTACTTCAAAAATTGATGGGTGATTTCAAAAAAGGCTGATACTGAACATCAGTCCAGCTTTCATTGGACAATATAATAAGAATGTAATTTATTCAGGACAAAAACAGTTTAGGAACTTAAGATTTTACATGACGTACGAGTTGTGTAACAAATACAGTAACGAAGTTATGGATTTAATGTAAATGATTCAAACAACACCATAACAAATAATAAACATGAAAACAGATTTTAGATAATTTTAAAAAATTAACAATATATATATTTAAAGTGTTAGTGTTTACCTTGTGAGAAATTCTCAGTTGATTTGGAATCAAGTGATGGTGTATTCATGATTCATTGGTCAATCTCATGCAAAACTTTAATGCATAGAAAAAGAAATAATTTTCTTCATGAAAGATGATTTATCATTGAAGTTCCAAGGTGGGTTTGATAAATGAAAATGAAAGAAAACCTAGGCCATTAGTAAATTTGCGTTATTATTTCCTCAGGTAATTGACACAGTGTTTTACTAGCTAAACTAGTGACAAGATACTCCTTTCATTTCATATCATTCATCTATTAAGATTACACAAACTGACTGAATAATAGTACATGTCATTCATATAATTTCAATCAAATATTTTTAAAATGTTAAATTATGCTTAATTATTGATTATTAATTATTGAAGATTTTGCATATTTTCAAGATAAGATTTGCTTCATAGACTGAAAACTACTAAGGAACCGTTAAAGCTCTTGTTTAAATTGACACTAATTTCACTGTAATATTTTACACATTACTATTAGTGATGTAGTGAAAATTCCCCCAAAAAATAATAAATAAATTTTCTAGGTATACAATTTTAAGTTCTAAGCAGTGTAAACCGTATTTTCATTTCCTATCATTTTATTGTCTAATTAAAAATTGTCAATTAAATTGAAATTTTTTCAAAGATGACTGCATTTTACTCTTTGTAAGATTACATTTATTGTTATGAAATATTCGTTTTTTAATTCATTTATAATCACATGTTAATAACACTCATTTGCCTAATATGACACTTTTTAGTTTAATAAACTGTAAATATTTCCGTTACAAAGATAATAATTTTGGAGTACAATTTCATCATTTTCATCATAGAATTGTGAAAATTGTTTAGTTTCAGTGAAATAATGAGACCGATCATTGTTAGATCAGCATAAGAAACACAGAAGCACCGAACAGCCACTTCATCCAAGTTTGGGACTCATCAGCAATGTCCATCCATTCACATGAATCGAACCTAGGACATTTTTATCGTCTCTTTAATTTTTGTTTCAGTCGAAAGAAGACGTACATTAGTCATGGGAAAATCTGAAGCAATCGTTTAGTGTTTATTTTTCAAAGAAATAATCAAATCATAATTCCAGATTTTTAAAAATTTCAATCATTTTGATAATCCGATTTTATGTGGAAGTTAACTAATACATTAATCTCATCGATGTTTGAGCACTCCAAAACTAAAATGTAATCTTTATCATTTATATTGAACATTGTGGTTATTTTTGTGAATAATGATTATCAGTAAATAATGTGATTTAAAAAGAACTACAAACAATTACAGACACTAATTTCGTTTTGTTTGGGTACATTTTATTTTTTAAAAAAATACTTGTTTATCTATGTTACTTTACAGTGACTGAGTTTGATATAACAAGCTTTCTAGTATTTCTCATGATATTCAAGTTTTTGCCAAAGATAATATTGACTTATCTTTCTTTCATCATAATATTAACAAAATATATCTGAAAGTCTTTCTAAATATATAATTTATTTGTTCATCAATGAATCGGAAGTTCAAATACTCGTCATTAATATTTTATCTCTCTTTTCTTCATACTCTATATCTTTGGATATTATTAATTACATTCAGCAATGTATGGTGTTTGTCGTTTCACCTTCACTATGCTTGATTTTAACTCGTTTTGTCAGTTTTTTACTGATAAATACTTAATATTACTTATTATGTTTAATGCTTCTCGATATTCATGTTCCTTCTTATAGACTAGATTGATGCTTTATTTATCATGATACAAAACGAATTAAAAAGTATGCATTATGTGATCATGGATATTTTGGCCCAGTTGATAACGAAATATATCAACATATCAAACTAGTAAAAAATGTTGTTTATCCTGTAGTGATAATGAAAATCTGATACAAAATGATGATGCATGCCAGACCATGCATCTTGACTGTGTACATTTACGGAAAAAATAAGATTTCTAATTAAGTGAGAGCAACTACATTATGATCATAAAATCCGTGAAAATCGATACTATAACTATTAGATTTTGCAGTAAATCACTTGATTGTTTGGAATTTTAGCAGCATAATAAAAACATAGATTTATGGATAAATAGTATTCTTCTCAATAACTTTTCATTAGATCCTGCAGTTGTGGATCGAATTTAATATTTCTGAGAAATAATCAAAAATTACAGAATATGAATTAAAGATTACTAGTAAAATACGACCAACTGATCTTATTTAGTTCACAATGAGCGAGGATATCAAGACCAGATGGAACAGTAATATATTCAGAGAACCTACAGTTTACTAGTACAGTATGTAAACCTGATCTTCAGGCCTCCATTTGCGAAACAAGCAGATCAATAACTGTCTTCTTTGACATGTCTTCTGATTTACAAAAGATTTCGATTGCGCTGTGCATTCCGATCCGATCTATCAAGTAGTAACCTCTGGGCAACACTCCACTTCATATTACTTAGAGCGTATGTTACGAATAATATCCACCACAAGACCATCATTGAAAATCTAGAAATAAAGGTCGTGCGTCTCATCCTAGTACAAAAGCCTTTAGGTGTGTGCATCCACGACCCTGAAACTAGGAAGTGAACGTAGAACCATATGTCTAGGACGCTAAACCTCCACACCATTGAGTCAGGATCTAGTAGTATGCGTGTCTAAATTCAATAAATTCATTATAATGTGTAACCATCTTTCATTGCCTGCAACGGATAACTACCTCACAACTGATGGAGTTGAGCTCCAATGATCATGGCTTCTCACTAGAACTCTAGGAGTTGTTTAGTGAACCTAGTCATCAGTGAGCACATGAGGAAAGAATTTAAGGAGATTATACAATTCCCATAGTTTGAATAATGAAATGATACTAGAGTCACCGATCCGCACTACTAAGGAGCCCATTTCTTCTAGGCTTTCAATGCTGGTCTAAAATCAGTTCTTGGTTGAAGATATAAAAATAACACTATCTGGATATGATAAATTTACGTAATGATAAAAAATGGAGACAGAGTTTTTATACGTACATCATTTAACCTATCAATAAAATAACTACTGATATATTTGACCTGAAACTTCAGGGCAACGTAAAAATGTTATGGATTGTCAATCCAAATAACTATTGCTTCTGTCACTGAGAATTCTATGTCTTGACTGTACTTTTGAAACAACAAGTTATATTTTTAACCATAAAACCCTATGAAAGTTGGTGAAAAGAAGAAATTTACCAATAAGTTCGCTTGTCAACAAATTTATTATCAAGTTATACAGTCGTTTATGCATAAAAAATTTTCACTATTGATATGATGAGAAAATATGAATAATGAATGAACATGATGATGTAATAGAAAAACTATTACACAAGGCTATTTAGTATAAACAGTAACAGTAAGAAGTTGTGAAAAGATTGTCTGAAACAAATATTCTTTTTTTATAAATCTATGCTTTTAAACTACTTGCGCTGAATAATTTATGTCCTGTTCTATATGAATAATAATTAAAAAAATAACTTGTAACTCATTCTGAACCTCAAGCTATCAACTTTTAGTCTTAATATCACATTTGTGTTATTTATAATTGTGGTCAATTACTTCAGTTGTTAAGTTTAAGTGCATTCTATGCTCTATGCTCACTTTTCCTCTGGTTCTTTTCTCTTCCAAATTATCTCACATATTGCTCCTAACATTCCCCTATTACACAAAGAATCTTCTGTTTGAACCAGAACCAACTGAAGGCTGAACAACATAAACTCAATTATGAATGATAATATGTAGCTGAAGATACCAGTCAGTATTTGATTAAATTACATATTCGTAAAATTTCTTTCAATTACTTACAGCCATTATCCATTAAAAAATACATTCATCAAATCCATTTATGTAAAATTTTATTTTTTGATAAACAGTGTAAGCCTACAGCTAACTTCTAGCTAAACCTAATATAACCTATCATATGTCATAGTTATTTCATTGAGTTAAACTACCAATCATGAGTTAGCAGAAAGATTATATTGATAGCAAATAATATGTAATTGGTCAAAATCAAGGTGAAAATCAACGTCGTGAAATCCAAATGTACGAAAGTAGGATAATCTTTGCAGTAAACTTCCATCAGATTGTACAATGATAAAAACCGATTGGGAATCAAAATGAATAGCTACGGTCAGCATATTATGGTTCGCAGTTAAAGGTTCATAGTTGCGACTTTTATAAGTACACATATAAGACCATATGATTTTCATCATAGAGTTGTGAAGATTGTTGAGTTTCATTGAAATCACGAATGGACAGAGTCTGATGCTCTCCCTATCCCACACTGAGAACTAGTCAAAACATTAATCACAAACATACTGACTGAGACCTCCTGCATAGTCTGGCAACATCTGACTGAGGTTCATTTTTCTCAAGTAACAGCTTCGTGGATGCCATTGAAATATTCTGTCAGATCACTAACTCATGTTTCGATTTCTCTGCACCTCTCAAAACATATCGGATTGGTAAGCCAACGAAATATTACACCAACTAAATATCGTAATAAATTAAGACGTCCGCAAAAATGTTACTTCAAGTCAAACGATCTTACAGCAGCTGTATAGATAGCCATGATTTTTAACCAAATTAGGGAAATACAGGTGAAAAATCATCGATTGATAACAACTCAAAAGTTCGGAGGGTGATGCTCCTTCTTAGAGCATTTCAATTCGCGGATAGACCGTATAATTTACATAGGGACACATTTATAAAGAAATCTAAAATCATTGCGAACCTTTTCAGTAACAGCTTTGAGAACACTGATAAGTTTTTAAACAGCCCTTGTTTAAAACTCTACATCTTCCTCTTATCTACCGATACGTAAAGCTATCAACTACCTCAAGGTCTCAAACAGTCATGAGGTAGACGCGATCCCAGCCATTCTCTTCAAATATGGTGGATCTGATAAACCGCTACGTCTTCTGAGCCTGTCTGCTCTCTATCTCTCTGGAACCTGGTATTTACCCTGATTGTCAGAAAACATCAAGCATCGTACCGCTGTACAATTCAGGAAA